CCCACTTCATTCCCTAACTCAGTGAATTTTCAGTCTGGTTAGAATATCAGATCACTGTTGATGTTTTTGTGTTTGCAGGGAGGGGCTGCTGGAAAGGAGCAGTGGAGGAATAGATGGTTAGGGGATAAAAAAAAAAAAAAAAAAGAGAGAGAGAGTTTGCACAGCCCTGGGAAGGGACATTCCATGAATAATGCAGAAAATGGAAGGATGAGGAACATTTTCAGAAAAAAAGAAGATTGCTTTGTTGGGGCAGACAACTTCATTTATCCCAAAGAAAAGGCAATCACACAATCTGAGAAGAATGGCTGGAATGGTTTCAGTCCTGGTGCCTCTGATCTGGGGGGCCCGAGGCTCATCAGGAGCTCAGAACCTCGGGGCAGCCTGACACTCCTTTCAAACACAGCCCCCTGCTTTTCTTAACATTGAAATATTTTTAATTTTTTTTTTTTTGGGGGGGGGTGGGGGGAGATTTTTACAAATTCAAAGCCACGAGCCACTGACTGGGATTAATTTCTGTGTCAAAAACAAATAATCCCACAGCTCTTCCCGTTATTCCCAGATAAATTCCTCATTCCCTGCAGCTTTCTATGCCTCACCCTACATTGACAAGGAAATTTAGGATAGGAATATGGAAAATGATTTTCAATTTTGCTCCGTTTATGTGTGTTTTGTATCAAATTTTGTGTGGCAGAGGAAATTAATCCTCAAATATAAAAACCTCAAAGCAGCAGCATCTTCTCCTTTGGATTCCCAGATTTGGAGGAGAGAAATAAAGGAAATTCTGTTCTGTTTAGGGATTATTTATCTGTATCTATAAACCTATATATCTATATATATATTTATATATCTATATATCTATATCTCTATATATCTATGTATCTGTATATTTATATATTTATATATTTATATATTCATATATTTATATATGAATATATTTATATATTTATATATCTATATCTCTATATCTTCATATTTCTATTTCTATTTCAATATATCTAATCTACATCTATATCTATCTATATATTTCCATTTATATTTATATTTATATTTATATTTATATTTATATTTATATTTATATTTATATTTATATTTATATTTATATTTATATTTATATTTTATCTATATATCTATATATCTATATATCTATATATCTATATATCTATATCTATTTATATTTCTATTATTTATTTAAATCCAGTCCTTCAGCTTTCTGGAGACTTTTCTCAGGGGGTTTGGGTGGTGACAAACAGAGCTGGCAGAGGGGACAGGTGGAGCACGAGGCTTGTTTTTGTTTTTGTTTTTTTTTGTGTCACAGTGAGCAGTGGGAAAGGCAGGAGCACACCCTGTGCAGGCAAAATTCAAGGCAGGAGAGGGAACACACAGATACTGGAGGATCATCTTTACTCCGTGGGTTTGTTTAGGGCAGTGAAAATCCATGGAAATCTGATTTTTGGGTTCTCTCAGAGCCCTGGCCCTGCTGGTCCAAAGGAATTGTGTGAGAATTTCTGGGAACCTGGAGGAACATAATTTTAATTTTAATATTTGCCTTCTTGAGAGGCATTTATACAGCTCCGAGTTTTCCTCCCGTTTGTGGCAATTTAACTTTTCTACAGCTGCTCTAATTTATCACTTCATTGCCAGCTCTAACAGGAGCTCTTCTGTCTCTGATGCAACACCAGAAATTCCCACAAAAACCTCTCCAATATCAATCACTGCTGAGGAAAGGATTAATTCCAATTAATGGCTGTGATGTGGAAGATGCTTTTGATACACCCAGCTGGTGTTTTAAAGCAGGGCATGTTTGAGGGCAGAAAATCACCCAGCTGCTTTTATTCCTTTTTTTTTGTTGTTGGTTTTTTTTTTTGGTTTTTTGTTTTTTTTTTTCCAGGTGGAGCTCACTGGAAACAGCATTTATGAGTACATCCATCCCTCAGACCACGATGAGATGACTGCTGTCCTCACTGCCCACCAACCTCTTCATCCTCACCTCCTGCAAGGTATTGCTGCCATCTGGGATTAAAACATTCTGGAAAAAGTAAAAAAGAAAAAAAGAAAAAAAAAAAAAATCCCAGGCTGAAATGTAACAAATTTCCTAAAGCATTCCATGAATCTATAAATTCATATTTATGCTGTTGGAAACTCAAATAGGGCAGCAGCAGGAACTCAAAGCTGAGATCCAGGATTTTGTGTTGTACTAAAGGGAATAAGTTGAATAAATTTCCCTAAATTCAAGAATGCCTTTTATGCCATCAAGCTTTAAACAGGTTTTTATCTTTTGGCTCAGTGGCTGTTTCATCTCTTTAATTTTGTCATCACTGCTGAGGCTGCAGAAATCCTGTGGTGGCCTGGTTGTGCACAGCTCAGCTGCATGGTGTGAGTGGGAAAAAAAAAAATCTAACAAAACATCAGGTAATTGGGAAATTGAAAGATATTTTTAACATTTTAAAACTACAAATTCAAAGCTTGGACAAAAAAAAAAAAACCCCAGACTTAATATTCTCCATAGGAAGAGCAGGAATGGGTTTGGTAAAGGATTTGGGTTTAGAAAATCTCATTTAAAAAGGGACTTTTGGAGGAAAATCCTGTTCTCTTGCCTTGCTGTCACAGAAATATCCACACCAGCCTTTGTGTGGGAAGTTGTCACCTCAGGGCTGCAATCACTGTGTCAGTGACAAAAAATATTCTCATTTCTTTAGCTTGTGTTGCCTCGGGGACAATTCTTTGAACTTTCAAAGATCAGAACCAACGTGGCTCCATCACAACGGAGCTTCCACTTGGCTTTCAGAATTGATTTATCAGCTGCATTTATTGACTCAAAGTTTTTCTCAATCTGTTCAAAGCACAGCTCCTAAAAAAAAACATGAGGAATTTTGGGTTCTTGCTACAATTTTGGTTAAGTTTTTGGTTTTTTGGGTTTGTTTTTTTTTTTTTTCCCCCAGTTTTGGAGCCTGTGCTTGGTTCTGGCCTCTGGGATTCCATCAGAGCAGAACTTTGTTCCTTCTAAATTGCTCCAAATGCTGGAAATGGAAGAATTATCTCAGCCTCCTTCTCTTTTCTTCCTCCCCAAACAGGTTGTCTTGAAAAAAAAAAAATCCAAAAACCTCCCTTGGTGTCTTGGAAAGCAAAATATTTTTCTCCAACTTCTCTGTATGATTATTTCATATTTCATTAATCTATCAGAATTTTTGGAAAATATTGATATTTTTTTAAAAAACAGCATTTCCCCCCCCCCCCCCCTTTTTCCAATTTGCTGATAAGCAGAGGAGAAACCTCTGATAGAAAAGATTTAAGGGTGATTTGGATGGTGGGACTGGAAAATCTTTAAAGTCTCTTCCAGCTTCAGTAATTCTGTGAAACTCAAGTTTTCATGCACTTTTGCTGATATCCAGAATTAGTAAGGAGATAATTTGATGCCTGCTGACTTGGCAATGGCAACAGCCTCCTGTTTTTCTTAACATTTAAATTTTGTTTTTTAATTCATTATTGAAGATTTTTACAAATTTAAAGCCAGGAGCAACTGATTTGGGTTAATTTCTGTGTCAAAAACAAATAATCCCAGTTTTTCCTGTTCTTCCCTGATAAATTCCTCATTCTCTGCAGCTTTCTTTGCCTCATCCTATATCCATAAGGAAATTTAGGATAGGAAAAAAGGAAAATTATCTTCAATTTTAGTCCATTTATGTGTGTTTTGTATCAAATTTTGTGTGGCAGACGAAATGAATCCTCAAATATAAAAACCTCAAAGCAGCAGCATCTCCTTTGGGTTCCCAGGCTTGGAGGAAATAAATAAAACAAGGAATTCTGTTCTGTTTAGGGATTATTTTATTTTCTCTCATTTCTGAGACTCTTCTCCATACAAAGCATGGAGTGGGTGTATTAAAATATCCAGAATCTAAAATGAACAGAATGAACAAATATTTATTTACTGTTGTCTTCCCTGTGCCAGTAATTCCCTTCCCTGCAGTATTTTATACATTAAAATAATGAGATATAACCTGAATCAAACTGGCCTGCAATAACCCAAGCAAGTTTTTTATTTAATCCAGTGAAGACTTAAAAACTATTGAATAAATGACAGGAATGAAGCAACTTCTGTCTGTATCTGAGTAGATATTTTCAATATTTAAATAAAACATGGAATTCTACAAATAATTTAAAGGGCAGTGAAGTGGAAGTGGCTTGATTTAAAGAAAAAACAAGAGGAAACCAGACTGTTTTAAAGAGCATTTTTTACCCTTTCAGTCTGATTTTCTCTCTTTTAATCTTTTAAAACAACTCTGAATCATCAAGTCAATGGGTGGAATAAAAAAATTTCCTTTTTAAACTTTATTATTTTATAGATTTCTCCAGTCTGGGGCATTGCTTAGGCATAAAATCAATATTACACTGCAGACACAGACTTTTATATCTCAAATTTCCAGCTTGGCTCACAGAACTTGCCTTGCTCAAGATGTTTTCTTCAGCTAAAGCTCAAATATTTAAATCCATTTTTAGTCCTGCAATTGTAGCTGGACAAGACCTGTTTTGAGAGGAATAAAATCACAAATGTCAACAATATCTGTGCTTTGTGATATTCTGTTACTGGCATTAAATAACCCAGAGCACAGATTATTTTTGACCTCTGGTTTTACAGTTTTTGTCAATTTGAGTGCTGCCTCTTCATTTATTTCTCAGGGAAATGCAAATTATTGCTATGCATAGAATCAGACAGTGTGTGGATTTCTTTACACAATCCTCACTGTCACGTTGTTTTTCTTCAGATAAATCACCCTGGTATTAAAAAAAAATTCCCATATTATTTATAAATTCTTAAATTATTATATTTTAATTTTTTAAAGTTTGCCCTGAGCTTCCTCATGTTTCAGGTAGAACAATTTCAAACACAGAGTGCAGATGATTTGTTTTTCTAAAAGGCAAATAATTGAATAATAATTCCATTTCTGGAATAATGATTCCAGAAGTTTGGATTTCATAGCAATAATAAATGCAATAAAATTTGGGAATATGATGAGGGAAGTGCCCAGATTTGCTGTGGCTGCCCCTGGATCCCTGGAATGTTCAGTTCCAGGTTGGACATGGGGACAGTGGGAGGTGTCCCTGCCATGGCAGAGAGATGGAATAAAGTGATTTTTAAATTCCATTCCACCCCAAACCATTCCAGGATTCTGGAATTAAGAGCTGACTTAATTACTGTGTGTAGAAATTTCCAAAGAAACAAAATAGTGGGAACTAAAGTATGGATTTAGAATTTAAAAAAACCTCCAACATTTCAAGGACCAAATCTGTGAACTGAAACCATAAAAGCTCAAATCAGAATAATGCACAGATTTTAAACTGGGAGTTTGATTAGCCACAGGAAAAATATGGTGAGGGAAGCAGGGATTTCTTCCAGGTTTGCCATCTCCAGATCAAGGCTGGGTGTCTCTGAAAAAGAGAATTTAGGCAATGAGAAGTTATTGAGCTCAGCACAGGAGTAAAAGCCTTTGATAAGGGAATTCAGGATAGGAATATGGAAAATTATTTCAAATTTTGGTGCATTTATGTGTGTTCTGTATGAAATCTTGTGGGGCAGAGGAAATTAATTGCTGAACACCTCAAAGCAACAGCATCTTCATTGGATTCCTAGACTTGGAGAAGATATTTATATATTTATATATTTATATATTTATATATTTATATATTTATATATTTATACATAAATAGATTCATTTATATTTATATTTATATTTATATTTATATTTATATTTATATTTATATTTATATTTATATTTATATTTATATTTATATTTATATTTCTTTAATGACCTGAAGCGCCCATGCTACCCCTCTGATTTAACTTTCCTTCAGATTTTAAGTCTCCAGGCCATGACTCAATGAAAACCAGAAACCTCATGAGCTGTGGAGGCTTTGGAGAATTTCAGCTCGAACTTACAAAGTCTTTAAGCTGATTTTTATTTGCATTGCCAGCATAGAAAATGTAAAGCAATGGGTGCAGATGCCTGGCTATGAGAGGAGCCAAGAGCTGAGGGTGTTTTGGGTGGGGATAAGGAATAATTTCCCTCCCATACAAATTAAAATTTGGGAATGTTTCAGCAAATCACCTCATGTGAGTCTTCAGGCAAACTTTGCTTAATTTTAACAAATCCATTCTATTCAGCTGCAGTGGGTGAGCAGGAAAAATAAGAAAGAGGCAAATAAAAGAGGAGAATATTTTGATATCTGTTCCAGAGCGTGGCTGCTGGCTGTGCTCAGATCTCAGATTATTTCAGTGTCAAATATTGCTTGAAGAATTTCTGCTCTGCAGCACTCGGAGTGGTTTGGGTTGATTTGTGAGATCTCAAAATCGGAGTTTCACACTCTGTGTGCTGCCAGGGCTGACAGCAGCATCCCAGAGCCTCCATCCTAAACCAGGATGCCAGAAAAGCAATTTGGGAGTCCTGGAACCCTGCAAAGTCGTGTTTGGGGCTGTCTGGAGATTTGGGGTCTTTCCTCACTGCAGGTGCTGCTTGTGGTGCCCTGCCAAAATCTGGCTCACCGTGGAATATCCTGAGTGGGGGGGAACCCACCAGGGTCACGGAATTCTGCATGGACCCCCCCAAAAATCCCAGCCTGGGCATCCCTGGCAGCTCCTGGAGCTCTGTGCCCATTCCCTGGGGAGCCTGGGCAGTGCCAGCACCCTCTGGGAGAGGGAAGGACCTTGCCCTAAAATCCATCCTAAATCCCTCCTGGCCCAGCTCCAGCCATTCCCTCAGCTCCTGTCCCTGTCACAAGAAGGAGATTTTTCTTTCTCCTGGTGGGAGAGCAGGAATTTTGGGAGGACAAAGATCAAAGTGTCTGTGAGAGGGCAGCAAAGCCCAGGGAGAAAAGCCTTCCTCCTGCCCTGAGGCTGCAGAAATCTCTCCTGCATTTTTCCAGGATGTGTCCTGGTGCCCAAGCGAGGCCAAAGAAGGAACTGGGCACTCCACACGGCCCAGGAACAGCACAAAATCGGATTTTT